TAGAGGAAATAACGTTGAGGATAAAATATACCAAATGTTCATTTCTTTTTTTCTGTGCCCCAGTGATTAAAGAAAATAAGGGGAGCTCCACTGTTTTACCTTCTAAATCCATATTTTTTCTGAAGACAAATGATATTTCCCATTTTTAATGGGTCAGTAGTGTTCTTGGCCACTGAGGCCCTGTCCACACGTAGCCGGGGATCTGCCAAAACATAGATATTTTTCTACGTTTTGGCCTGTCATCCGCACGAAAACGGAGTTTTTTCACACGAAAACGGATCTTTTTAAAACCTCCGGCCAAAGTGAAGATCTGCGTTTTCTCCGTTTTGGGTGTCTGCGTGTGGACGGACAAAACCGGACTTTTAAGGTCCGCAACGTCACTTTCCGCGACAAAAAAAAGCTGACATCACGTGTGCGACCTGTGTTTACACTAGCCGACAGCATGGATGCCCTCAGAGCTGCGCTCGCTTTATCAATTGTCCAAGCGCTTTTTGCTTGTTTGTTTTTGCAAGTGGAATTAGTGCTCCTTGCGGAAGACCACAGACGAAGGACGAGGTTAAGAACGGGGGAAGTACTGCCGCCTACAGGTCTGGCATGTCCTTAACAACGTATTTATCCGGGTACGTGTGGACAGAGTTTTTTTTAAAACGAGGTGGAGTGGATGCAAGTTTTTGGAGGGGTGGATATTCGTTTAAAAAAAAACGGCTACGTGTGGACTAGGCCTGAGAAGTTTTCAAACAAAACCGGGTGAAGCTTCTTGTAGCTACTTTGCTGCTCACACATGGAATCAGCTTCCTGCCAACTCTAGTAACTTTTAAATCAAAATACCGTAAATCCTCTAATACAGGCCGGTATTCAATTAAAGGCCGGGTCTCCAATTTTGGCCGGTGTCGTAGTCAGCGGAGGTAAATAATGGCCGGTCTCTTATTGTGGCCGGATGGAATGTGGTAACAAGCAAGTATGAGAGTCCCAGCGGCAGGGTTATAGTCCCCAAATCAAACAGCAGGAGGCAGTAGGGGTTCGCGCAGACCTTTATTAGGCTTTTTCTTCAAGCTTTGTAACGCTTCAGACACGATCCTCTATCACGCTCCTACCACACAGAGTCACGGTGTCAGTTAACCATGCTAATTCAACCCGCTCCACATAACACACATCACCTTCCCTGTGGCTTACATAACACTCGCACAACACGCAAATCAGCACATAGGAACTAGCAGAACGATAGGAAACACATATAACACAATACCCAGAATGCACCTGGCTTACAACCCCAGCCAGGTCATTACACTATCAAGTTCAAAGAGAACGTGCTGATTATGCTGCAGAACACTCTGGAGAGCAGCAGTAGGGGTTGTATGAACTACAGTAATCCCTCGTTTATCGCGGTAGATGCGTTCCAGACCTGGCCGCGATAGGTGAAAATCCGCGAAGTAGGGACTCCCAGCATGCCCCTCGCGGGGATTCCCTCCACGTCGCACCTACGTCACAAACCGCGGCTATAAACGGAAGTCGCCTTTACAGCTCACCACTCAGTCATGGTTTCTTCAGATTCACGATCAGAGTTTCCAACCTACCAATCAATCCAACGAACTATCAGCTCATAGTAAGTTATCTTACTTACTTCTGGAAAGCCCGGCATTTCCGTGTCACTTCGTTGACGCTTGAACACTCGGGGGTTTCCTAGAGCAGCCGGCGTTTCACCGACGCTATCACTTCCGCGTCTGTGAAACCACGCTCCCGTAGGTACTGACACGCGATCGTTCATGTCGGTTCATTTCCTTTAATGTTTTCTGTCTTTTATTTGCGCCTGAAGTGTATCGCTGCTGTGGAGCGGGGCGCATCAACTTGTCCTCCGACGCAGAGATCACTGATGCGGCCAGCAAGCAGGGAGCGCTCCGCTGTTTTCGCGGTCGGTAGATCTGCCTCCTGAGCACGGCCACAGTAACAATCAGGTGTCGCCACCTCAAAAACTAATTTAACACGCGATCGTTCATGTCAGTTCATTTCCTTTAATGTTTTCTGTCTTTTATTTGCGCCTGATGCGTTTCGTTGCATGCTGTGGAGCGGGGCGCTGGGGGCATCACCTTGTTCTCCGACGCACTGATCACTGATACGGCCGCCAAACAGCAAGCGCTCCGCTGTTTTTGCGGTCGGTAGATCTTTTAGAACTGCAGTTCAAAGGTAACTCATAAGGTGAATATATATGAACCCAGGCAGCAGCTTTTCTTTAGGATTGAGAGGAGATGCAGGAAGATAATAAACAGACAGGACAGAAAAATAGTCAAATAAAAACAAGTTAGTTTTTGTACCTGCTGTTGCAACAAACAGACACCATTGAAGGTAATCAGAAGTGAGGAACAGAAAATGAAATAATTATTTTAATGTTTAGAGCAGCAGGAACTCTGAGAGGCTGCAGGCGCATCAGTGAGTTTGCGGCTGCTGCGCAGGGGGAGGGGGGAGAGGGCTGAAGCAGAAACTACCGTTGTTAAAAGAAATGTGTTTAACTTTGAAAATGTGGGCGCAATTTTAATTGTCAAAAACTCCAGCAAACCATTAGTTCATTTTGCTCAAATAGAAATAGAGGCCTGCCTCTAATACTGGCCCTCCTTCCAATAAAGGCCTGGAGCTTGATGAGCTTGAATCAAATACAGGCCCGGGCCTGTATTAGAGGATTTACGGTATAAGACTTTCATGTATTCATCAGGGGAACTCCACTGTTTTACCTTCTTTTTTTCTTTTGTTTTAGACAAAACAAATTTGTGAACACGTCTGCAAGACGAAGCTTATGATGTGTCTAAGGTTGTGTAATTCATTTAACTTTTTTAAAGAGAAAACTGAATTTATGGGGAAGAAAATAACAAGTCAAACAAATGGTTAAACAACAACATGCATTATGTGATTATGTGCAGGGTAGCCCCTAAGACGTGGCCACGGGTGGCCGAGGCCCCCCTTGGAAAACTGTTGGCCACCACATTGCTCCCCTGGGGAGACCGTCTCCAATTTAAAAAATAATCTTCATGTTCACACAAACCAAATAATAATCTTAGTCAGTTAATACATAAACACATAACCCAATGAACAAACAAGCAAACAAATAAATAATAACAAAAAGTTGTGTTTCTGCTTACCAAATTCTAAAGAAGCATAAGTATTAATAGTTTTTGTGGATGGAACTGTAATGCATGCCGTTATAGCAGGAATAGTAAAAGGATGGCTGTGGCTTACATAGTCCTATGGAACAACAGATGCTTTGAAGCGTAGCCGAGAGGAATAAAGCTCGGGACACGTGAACGGATGTCAGCTCCGACAAGAAACAGGCAAATTAAACTGTTCTATGATGCTTATAAAATTCATGTTGAAAAAAAACTTTTTTTTTTTTTTTAATTTGAGATCAATGTGTTGGAAGTGTAAGTAATCTAATGTTTTTAAAGACAAAGAAGGAAAGAAAATGCACAGCTAAAGGCCACATACTGCAAGAGTTACCACAAGGACCAACTTGGTGTGTGCCAACTGAAAGTTTCACTGCCCCTCATAAAACTTTTACAAGCACACCACTGATTATACAGAATGAGATTCAATAAAAGCCTTTAACCATGTTCCTAACCATAAAGAACAGAACCAAGCTTCCTGGTCATGAAGTGGCCAGTTTTCATCCCAATCCATGAATAAACTGTAGTATCAAATAAACACTGGGAAGTGCTTGAAGTGGATTTGAAACATGAAAATGAGCAAGCGTGCAACTGCATGCATCCGTCGTGCAGCCCGAGACTTGGTATGACAAGCAATGTTGCAAATGACAACAGAGGACTCCCATAATGCCACACAGGCAACAATAAAGTGGCATCCATGGGTGCGACCAGAATGACTAAAGTGGTGTGGAGCCTCTTTCTCATTAGAATATTACCTCTGGCTCACAGAGGCGAGTTGAACCCCATTACGATGACCTTCACTGGTACGGCGCTCATTAAATAATACTGAAATGCTCTTTTTCATCTGCGGCCATAATGAGGGGACCAGTGTACGTATCAATATTGGGTTTTATCAGGATGGATCCTGGCAGCAATTATAGGGACCCTTTTGAAAAGTTCACTTCCATTATGCCCCTCTACCACTGGTAATGACATTGTGGCCATAATCACTCCCGTTGTAGTTAATATCAAATATGAAACCAGATATCGATGGCCCCAGAGACTCTGTGTGTGTGTGTGTGTGTGTGTGTCTGTGAATGTGTGTGCGTATGTAAGCACTATTACGATGTAAGCAGGCACATCCTTCATCGCATTGTCTCCTTAATCTGTTGATATTACAAACCATTCATCATTTCATCCTGACACCTTCATAAAATAAAACATACAGTAATTAATTTTGTTAGATGCAGAGGAAAAGAAAAAAAAAGAAAGCAAAGGATGATGAGGAGATGAAGAGGGAGATGGTTATGAAGACAAGGTTCAGGAGTCCAGAATGGAGATTAAATTTATGTTTTATGTGTCACATCCAGCTCAAAAAGTATTTTAAATCAGGAAAAGCAGCAAATCAGAGGAAAAGCAATGAAGCTAATGGAGTTGAACATGAGTGTAATCTACTGATTTTACACTTGAGTGTTGAAATACGGATGAATTCTCATTTATCAGGATTACGAGACAGCATGACTGTCAGATTCCTCTGCAGATGAATGCATAAGCAGCCTGCAATGTCTAATAAAAGTTGTGCATATCATGCTATTTTGTTATTACTTCATAAAAATGTCCAGACTATCTTTTTATCACAAAATTAATTAATGAGGGCATGCAATTAAAATTTGATTTGCAGGTGCCAAACCAAAATTCATGTCTAAATTAAACAGTAAATTACATTTTGGGTAATTTTTTTATGAATGAAACTTCTGGTGGTGAGAAAACCTGTAATGAGAACTTCCCCCCCCCACCCCCACCCCCACCCCCATGTATCATTATTCTGTTGCAACTTGCTTCTCGTCGTCAGTAGTAGGAATGTTTCCCATATCAGTGTTCTCCAAACCCTCTAACGCTGCCGCAGACAGCCGAGATGGATGCTTACACAGTGGAAAGTAGAAAATTAAAAGGAAGCGTCTGATAAACTGACAGGAGGCACCTCAGGATAGAGGAGCGGGAGATGGAACGATCAGGAGGAGCGTTGAGGAGAGGCTGATGGATATGCAGCATGTTTGGGTGGGGAAAGTTTCTGTGTTCTTTGTTTCAGTAACGTTTGCATGTTTTAATGTGTGTCCTAGTTTATAAAGAGGCTGCCGTTATGAAAAATCAACAAATTTACATTTTAAATGTATTTTAATGAGAAAAATCTTTGTAAATTTAGCCTCATTTTGATAAAATATCCAGAAAATTTATGATTATCTTAATTTTCTTTTTTTTTTAACATTTTCCAATACACTATGGTTAAGTTGCAGTTCTTCTAAAATTAAATAAATCTGGCCATTTATTTGATCTTTAATATGAATTAAAGAGATGGATAAGAATAAAGCATTAAGTAAAGTCCAGATGAACTCATTTATTTGAGTTCAGTCACATTTTTTTAGCTTAATTTGACAAACGAGAATAGCTTTGGAAACTTTAATGCATAAAAGAACAAAAATGAATCAATAATAAAAGATTTTGATGCAACACAGTTACTTGCAAGCTTCATGGGAAAGAAAAAAATCCATATTTTTTCCGAAGACAAATGATATTTCCCGTTTTTAATGTGTCAGTAGTGTTCTTGGCCACTGAGAAGTTTACAACCAAACAGGGTGAAGCTGCTTTTAGCTACTTTGCTGCTCATACATGGAATCAGCTTCCTCCCAACTCTAGTAACTTCTAAATCAAAATATAAAACTTTCATGTATTCATCAGCCTTTGAACAATTGCACCTTATGCTGCAGCTTTTGCAAAGTAACTGCTCACCCATAAACTTTGTCTTCTTTCTGATTCGTACATCTGAAATAAATTGTATTTATTTTGGTCTAAATTAAATTAAATATGCACTTGTAAGTCGCTTTGGACAATAGCGTCTGCTTGAGGTGAATTGTGCTGCTTCTATCGTGGCTGCAGGAACTGAAGTGGAGATAGTCCCAGCCCACCACCCCACCTAGTGGACACTTATGTTGTGTAATGTCTGAAGTCTGTTGCATATCTGTCTGAGGTGTTTTTTTTTTTTTTTTTTTTTTTGCAGAGCAAAGCTGCCCTCCCAGTGGGAGGGTAACTCTGAAGTGCCTTTTTTTCCCTCCACCTGAACCAATCCTCATGTAACCCTCTTATCTCTATTAAGGTAGCGCGACTCATGGTTGCGAATGACCACAGTCACCAATTCTTGTCATGTGTCTTGCCCATGTATGTCTGATCTCTGAATTGTGTGTACTGAAACTCTAATTTCCCTCTGGGATTAATAAAGTATCTTTGATTGATTGATTGATTGATTGATTGATTGATTGATTGATCATCACCAGTGTGAATGGGTGAATGACTGACTGTGTTGTGAAGCGCCTTGGGGGGTTGTAGAACCTTAAGAAGGTGCTATCCAAATACAGACCATTTAAAATGGATTTAGTAGTGCTGTCACATTGGTTTTAATGTGCTATTCTCTCGAATGGGAAGAACATTGAATCGTTAAATGTGCTATACACATAAAGCCGACTTGCCTTGCCTAATAAAACAAATAAAAGTATAAAAAAACCTAGTATTTTGTTGACTTGTTTTTTTGCCTATTTAGTACTTTTGTTATAATATTTATTCTTTATTGTTTAATCTACTGTGGTTTTTATTTCGGTGCAGTTTGTGTTCGTGCACATGAACGCTGTCCTGCCGACACACGTGTGTTAAACTTCAAGAGGCAACAACTGAGACGTTACTGTAACTAATTCCCTCAGACCTCTGCACAGCAGCAAACGTTGAGGGTACAGCGGTCTATCCAACCCCCTCGTCCCGCGCTGCCCGGGTGGCTGTCTCTCTCCCCAACACCAACATTGTTTTAAGGCCGAGGACTCTGAGCTCCTTCCAGAGGCGTTTGACAAGCCATCAGGCCCGTGTTTATCTGCACACATAAAACTGCATGCATGGCGGTGTCGACTCTCCCGGCCTCTGGAGACAACACATGATTTTAACATTAGTTCATCCCAGCTCTGAATGAAGGAATCAGCCAGGCCTGCAGCCCTGGTGGAGACCATGAAAAGCACAGAAGCTTTACTGCAAATCTCCTCGATTTCTATACAAGTGCAGCGTGATTACCTGTGTTAATGGGAGCGGCGCAGCCACCCAGTCATCTTGATAATTTAATTTGAGTGTGCCCCGAGGTGGAGCTATCTTTATTTCATCAGCTCAAAGCGGTTTATTTCATTAAAACGTCTTCTTGTCCATCAGTAAGAACCTGTTCCTTCTGAGATAAGCTGCAGCGCTTCATCATAATTGCAAATGTTTGCACATAATGTAAAGACCTCGTGGGTCTGGTATTCTTTAAGATGAAAAAGGTTGCCATGCATACAAATCAGGTATGTGACAGTAATTCCTGCGAACGTTTTCGATTATTTGCAATTCACAGAGAGGTGTCAGAGTTGCTCCGACCTGCAGGGTTTTAGAATTCGGCCCAACGTTTTTGTTCCTAGATGGAAACGAGCAAACGAGTTCGCTCGACTTAAAGCAGTTTGACGTTAAAATTTGTCCTCTTCTGACAGAATATTTTTAAAATTCAACTCGCAGACTTTCACTTTCCTCCTCTCCCACTCATTTACAGTTGGCACATGAATGTACACAGAAGATCACACACGTTTGCGTACACACTCCCTCCCACACACACACACACACACATCCCGTGGTGTGGCGGCTGAAAGGGGACTAACTGACAGAGATTGGTGGGTAATTCAAGCCAACATGATTGACTTTATAAACACTTTAAAGTGCCAAGTGGTCTTTATGTTTTCAAGAAATGCCAAAAGTTCCCAGCACAAAAAAAAAAAAAAAAGCACAGGGAGTTGAGCATAAAGGGAGCAAGAGGTAGAAAAATCCTGGAGCTGCTTTCACGTCAGAGTCCACCTCCCTCGCTGCTTCTTCCTTCACTCGATACCCCCTCTTGGCACTTTTAATGGCATAAAATTACGGGCCTGAAAGAGCGACAACAACCGTCTAGATTTAAAGCATAATACGTTGACAGGAGTGACACGGCCATTTTCTCCTCCTCCATTAGCATCAAGACGCGGCCACCTCCTTTTGCTCTTAAAGAACCGACCGTGGTGGCAGGCTGTAGTTGTCACACGTCACTTCCTCTGTCATTACTCGCTGACACGCAGGCCGCCGCTGCTTTCACACTGACAAACAGCAAAAACATCAAGGAGTCTGAAAGTGATTTAAAAGTGGGCTCTCCATATTGTTAATGCAAAATAATCACTCGGTGGGTGGAAACATTCGAAACATGGCTTTGGGTTTTAGAGCTCAGGGAATATTTAGTCAGGTGAAAGTGGGCCGCGAGTGGAAGTTCAAACAAAAGTGGTCGTTCTGTCAGAATATCTAAACTTTTACACCACTTTGAATTTGACATTATGAGATTATTTAAATATAATTCTCTTGTTATTTTCAAACAAAATAGGTTGAGGAAAGATAACGGCAAAATTTAGTGAACATTTTACCAAAATAACCCAAAAATATTAAATGTACGGCGTTGTAATGTTTCTTTTTTAATATCTCTACATAAATCTGCAAGATAATGCAAGAGATCTGATTTGTTTGATGACACTTTGTAAACAGCCACATTGTGCTTGCTTACCAATCAGAACCAATCTATATTTCTCCAAACGAAGCCTACTCAACAAGCTTTCTAGAACAGATAACATATTTGCTGATTATAAAAATTCCACAAATCAAATCAGAGGGTCATTTTGCTCTTTAGTCAGAATCAAATGCTGCAGCATTATTCAAATCGGTTGGAAAAATCAGCAGTCATAAGCTGTGCAAGAACTTCATCTCAGAATGTTGGGTGTGCCGGAAACTTTAATGTGCAATGAGCCAACAAAGGGTAGAGGTGGACGTCTGTGCTCAGGTCTGAGTTCATTTTTATCTGCTAAGTTGTGTACTTTTGCAATTCTGGTCACCTGCTACTACCTGCTGCAGGTCTCTGTGTACACCTACTTGTTAGTCACACCAAAAAGGATTAATTAACCTGAGTAAACGTTTAAAAACTGGGACCAACATCTCCGATACATGTGTTGAAAACAAAAAAAACTTCTTTGCAAAAACAGATAACTGATGATGATTTTTTTTAATCATCTTTTTATTTGTTACTTCAGGTGAAATCAGTCAAAATAAAGTTTTTTGTTTTTGGTCAAAACTGCTTTGATCTTATTTTTCAAACAAACTCTTCAATTCTGAAGAAACCATAGATTCAGAAATGTTCATGTATGAAGGGGTCACAAAGTATGTTTTGATGGTATACTATAATAGAATAGAATAGAATAGAATAGAATAGAATAGAATAGAATTTATTCCCCACATTGGGAAAATTCATTAGTTACAGCAGAACGTACACTTAGAGAATAATTTGAAGAAAAAAATGATAAAAGTACATGTACATAGGCAGTACGCTACTATTGTAACCATAAGTAAAATATCACATTGTACTCCAGGTGTATCATCCCTTACAACGCCACTTACTAGTAGTGTATAGAAAAACATTATATTTTAATAGAAAACTCATAATGAGGTATTATCTGTTAACTTGTCAAATATGTTTTCAGAATCAACACATCTTGCCTACCTAAGTGAATGTTTGAAAAACAACAGGAAATTTAAAAGAACTTAAAATGAAAAGGGAAATTTTGATTTGTTATTTGTTAATTTTTTAATTATAAACTATATACTAAATGTATTTTATTCTATTTTATATAGTTTAACCAAAATGCAACAGTGAGACAGAAATAACATTGGCACTTGCCACCTGTACATTATCCACCAGAGGGCAGTAGACATGTAAAGGACTGGAAATGGCAGTAGTGATTTGATTGAAGTTTGTGAAAATAGTCTACAAAGTAAAAAAAAATCCTCACGTGTTTTTATGTTAACAAAGAAAATAGTTCAACTGAAGTTCTGATTATTATTATTATTATTTTAACCTTACTCCATCCATCCATTTTCACCCGCTTATCCAGAGTTGGGTCGCAGGGGCAGTAGCCTAAGTCGAGAGGCCCACTTCCCTCTCACCAGCCACCTGGGCCAGCTCCTCCGGGGGAATCCCAAGGCGTTCCCTGGCCAGGTGAGAGACATAGTCCCTCCACTGTGTCTTGGGTCTACCTTTAGGTCTCCTCCCAGTTGGACGTGCCCGGAAAACCTCACCAGAGAGGCGTCCAGGAGGCATCCTAACCAGATGCCCGAGCCACCTCTACTGGCTCCTCTCGATGTGGAGGAGCAGCGGGTCTACTCCGGGCCCCTCCCGGATGACTGAGCTTCTCACCCTATCTCTAAGGGAGAGCCCAGCCACTCTGCGGAGAAAACTCATTTCGGCCGCTTGTATCCGCAATCTCGTTCTTTCGGTCACTACCTAAAGCTTATGACCATAGGTGAGGGTAGGAATGTAGATCGACCGGTAAATCGAGAGCTTCACCTTCTGACTCAGCTCTCTCTTCATCACGACAGACCGGTACAACGCCCGCATCACTGCAGATGCAGCACCAATCCGCCTATCGATCTCACGCTCCAGTTTTCCCTCACTCGTGAACAAGACCCCGAGATACTTAAACTCCTCCACTTGGGGCAGGACCTCATCCCTGACCCGGAGAAGGCATTCTACTCTTTTCCGAATCAAGACCATGGTCTCAGATTTAGAGGAGCTGATTCTCATCCCAGCTGTTTCACAATCGGCTGCGAACCGCTCCAGCAAAAGCTGAAGATCACGTTCTAATGAAGTCAACAGGACCACATCATCTGCAAAAAGCAGAGACCTGATTCTCTGGCCACCAAAACGGAAGCCCTCCACCTTGGCTGCGCCTAGAAATCCTGAACAGAACTGGTGACAAAGGGCAGCCTTGGTGGAGTCCAACTCTCACTGGCAACGAGCCTGACTTAAGGTTGGTTTATGCTTGACGCGTCCGTGAGGTTCGCACGGCTCCGCGTGGCGAAATTGCGTCATTTTAACAACCACGCCCCTCCACTGCGTCTCCGCACGGCCCAAAATTTCCGCAACGCGCACCTAGGAACATTTCTAACCACGCGGACGGTCGGACGTGGTAAAACATGGCGGACCAGCAAGAACTAGTATGGCAGAGGTTCGTAAATACAGACATTTGTATGATTCAGCTCTCAGAGATCACCGTGATCAACATGTTGTTAATAATTCTTGGTGAGAAATAACTCGCACTGTCGGAAAAGACGAGGACGCTGTTAAAAATGCTGAAATGCCATGTTGTAAACAACAGTAATTTTTACTTCTACTATGGTGTAGTGTTGGATGCATGCTGTAGAGCTCCATGCTGCCCCGTTTCATATTGGCTCACCGAAGAGACGAGCCGCACGAACCATAAACGCTGCGAGTTGTGAAGCGCGTTCCATCCGCGAGCCGCATCACCAAACAAAAAGTGAATGCGTCAAGCACAAACCAAGCTTTACTGCCGGCAATGCGGACCGAGCTCTGACACCAGTCATACAGGGACCTATCAGCCTGTATCAGAGGTCCTGGTACCCCATACTCCCGGAGTACCC